GAAAAAATTTACCAAAAAAATGAATGATGGGCAAATAATTAAAAATATCCTGAAAAGGATTAAGGAATACGAGATGGTTAATAAAGAAGCGAGAGTATACTACTCCATACGTAGTAGTACTATTCACTACCTTACAATTATTTCTTAATTTCCACGAAAAACATAACCCTGCAAATAAAGAATACAAAAGAGAGTATATTTTTACTATTTGTTCCATAAAAGCCAATGGAAGTAACTAAATGACAACAGATGTAGTATCCAGTGGCGGACCCAGAAAAACGGAATGATGGGGTACCTACTTTAATGTTATTCTAATTAATATAAAATTAAACAAATAACATGATAAATAAAATATAGCATATTAAAAGATAAATAATATGGTAAACAAAATGTAGTATCTGGAAATCCTATTCCCAAAAAATAACAGTTCATAAATACACAAACTTAATAGTGAGAAAATTCTCTAAATAGGACTCAAACATAGATAGAGTTCATAAATAGGACCATCAATGTTTCATTCTAAAAATAGGACTCATACACTATCAAAATATCTTTTCATCCTAAATCGTAAAATATTAAGAGAGAAAACATTCATAAATACACAAATTCACTAATGAGAAAATTCTCTAAATAGGACTAAAACATGATTCATAAATAGGACCATCAATGTTTTATTTCCAAAACGGGACTCATTCACTCCTATTTTGCAAAGTTTTAATCAAGTTATTCTTTTAATAGGATTAAATAAGTCTTATTTGGGAAGTAAAACGTATTTAGTCCTATTTTTCTATTTAATAATTTAATATTAACATTCAAACTCATGTATATCTTACATTATGGGAAGAAGGATAATATACGAGGTGTTAAATATAATCATTTTATTGAAAATATAGTATGTATAACTGGTTCTAACATAGTAATTTAATTAAAACGAAACTATGATACAAGTATAATGTAAATAAAAATTAAAAATAAAGTAAAGTACTTAATGTAAATAATTAAATAAATGAGGAGCATGATTGACTTTAATTTTATGGTAAATATAATCGAAACTCCATGGACGTATCTTTACTTTTATCGCTAGGGTAAACAAAAAACATGGGAAAACCAATAAAAAGTAAAAAATGAATTATGAAAGTTTAAAAAAACAAAAGGACACAGGGGATTCGAACCGTGAATCTCACGGAGAGTAAGGCCCGTGAGCATTACGCGTCCACCAGTTCTGCTAGTCAAGAATTTTGTTTTTGTCATAGCTTTTGTCACATATACACACTTATTAATTAATATTATACGAAGTATGAAATATGTATGATATATGTAGGTATTTTATTTGGAAGTTCACGGGGTCTCGGGACCCATGGGACCCTTAGTGGGTCCGCCTCTGGTACTCTGGTAGTATCCCAAAGATATGGTAAATGTATTGCTCCGTACTTCGTATTTGTCTACATCCCTTCCTCTTGTAACAAAAGAAAACCTTTTTTTCTTAATATGGACTTGATCAACTTTATCCGCTATCAATCTTAGCAAAAATAATGTAATCAATGACTAAATAATACGAGTAATTTAGTAACAAGTAAAAAGTTAGATAATGTGACATAATAGCTGAAAAGATCTAGCTACAATTATGTAGTCATTATAGAATTTTAACAGTACTACGTATGTAGTATGTACTATTCATACAACCCCTTTACATGCCCATAAGCATAAGCAATTCCATATATCAATCCTCGAAAAGAGTTGAACCCTTGGTTGTGAGGTTATCCTTGCATAGGAGAGGTCTCGTGTTCGAGTCCCACTAGTACCAGTGGAACTATGCTCCCCCAAAAAACGCTTCAAGTGGTAGGGCCAAGCGATGTATACTAACCCGTAGGGCCAAGCCAAAGTTGAGTTTCTGGGGTAAGGGGCCGTGAAAGCGGTGGAGCTAGTCACTATAAAAAGTTTACCCATACCTTAGTTAAACAATCACTTCCAGCCTAACTGGTTGTGAGGTTATCCTTGCATAGGAGAGGTCTCGTGTTCGAGTCCCACTAGCACTAGTGGAACTATGCTCCCCCAAAAAACCCTTCAAGTGGTAGGGCCAAGCAGTGTATACTAACCCGTAGGGCCAAGCCAAAGTTGGGTTTCTGAGGTAAGGGGCCGTGAAAGCGGTGGAGCTAGTCACTATAAAAAGTTTACCCATACCTTAGTTTTAACCATCACTTCCAGCCTAACTGGTTGTGAGGTTATCCTTGCATAGGAGAGGTCTCGTGTTCGAGTCCCACTAGCACCAGTGGAACTATGCTCCCCCAAAAAACCCTTCAAGTGGTAGGGCCAAACGGTGTATACTAACCCGTAGGGCCAAACCAAAGTTGGGTTTCTGGGGTAAGGGGCCGTGAAAGCGGTGGAGCTAGTCACTATAAAAAGTTTACCCATACCTTAGTTTTAACCATCACTTCCAGCCTAACTGGTTGTGAGGTTATCCTTGCATAGGAGAGGTCTCGTGTTCGAGTCCCACTAGCACCAGTGGAACTATGCTCCCCCAAAAAACCCTTCAAGTGGTAGGGCCAAGCGGTGTATACTAACCCGTAGGGCCAAGCCAAAGTTGGGTTTCTGGGGTAAGGGGGCGTGAAAGCGGTGGAGCTAGTCACTATAAAAAGTTTACCCATACCTTAGATTTAAACCATCACTTCCAGCCTAACTGGTTGTGAGGTCCTTGCATAGGAGAGGTCTCGTGTTCGAGTCCCACTAGCACCAGTGGAACGATGCTTCCCCAAAAAACCCTTCAAGTGGTAGGGCCAAGCGGTGTATACTAACCAGTAGGGCCAAGACAAAGTTGGGTTTCTGGGGTAAGGGGCCGTGAAAGCGGTGGAGCTAGTCACTATAAAAAGTTTACCCATACCTTAGTTTACCGGTGGGCGTAGCTCAACTGGTAGCGAGGGAGTGCCACAAGGGTTAGGTCTCGGGTTCGAATCCCGGCAACTGCGATGAGGGGTTACTATGCTGAAAAATGCATGGGGCTTCTGCAAGTACCGGGGACAGAGCCCCACTCTCTATCTGTCAGATTGTGATTATAGTCCAATTTACACCCTCCCATCGTACAGTCTGGTCGGTGTTGGGGGGCCCTCAGGGATGGGGTGTCATCCTTTTTTTCCAAAAGAGTTGAACCCAAAGGTCGTCCACACCTTGATTGGATAATACATTTAAGAAGTCGTAAGTCACATAATTTAGTTGTTATATGTATGTATACTATTCTGCATGCAAATGAATTAACAAATAAATAATTAAGGAATTGAAGAACAAAATTTACTTGTAATCGAGCCCAACGTGAACGTTATTTCCTTAAGACATTATTGTCTGACGCACATAGAAACCGTCTCCCAGTATAGAACGGTTCTTCGTTCCCAACGGGACACCGGCGAACTCAAAGATGCAACGAAGGAAAAGAGAATATGGAGAAATTGTTTGATGATTTTCTGATCATTCAAAATTGAAGACAAGGCATGTATTTATAGAGCTCTGGCCAGGAGTCTCTAACCCAAAAGATACCTTTTAAAAGAAAGTTCTTGACCTTTCTTTTAAAACGAATGGTTGTGTCTTTTATTTGGTTTTATCCGAAGAAGAAATAAAAACCGTAGAAAAATTAATCTTCCTATCTTAAGCCCAATTGTTGACTGGTCAAAGACCTGAACCCGACCCGACCGACTAACGGCGGCAGTGTGTGCGTGTTAAATATAATTTCACGCTTATCTTTCGGGGAACAATTTCTCATTCATTTCAAAATGATTTTTACAAATAATATTAATGACTATAATATTAATTTGTAATACCATTTTTTCAACATTAGTTAACCCAATAATGATAGACCTTATATTCGTTGCGTACCAATAGTCTAATCCAACAAGCTGAAGTTGTAACCTCCACATGATCGCAATGTGTTTTCATCCTAGCTAGATCAATCTTTTAATTTTCTCATCACTCGAGTAACTGAGCCTCATGCGAGTTGCAATCCCGTATATACAGGGGCGCCCCTAGGGGGGTGCAAGGGGGGCGGGCGCCCTAGGCCCAAAAACAAATGGGTAAAAAATAGGCCCAAGTTTAGCTTTTTGTAATAAGTGTGAGTAGGCTGCTTTTTCAACCCTAAACTAGCAATTTTCGGGTGGAATTTGTTGAAGTTCTTCGGAATGATTTTTTTGGTGAGAACTTATGATCATATTCTCTATGAAGTGTATATTATGTAAAAAAAAATCAGTTTAAAGTTCAATTTAGAAATCAATCAAATAAATTATTGAAAAAACATTACGTTTTTATACTTTTTTTGGCACATTTTTTTAATAATTTATTTAGCTGACTTTACGATTGAATTTTAAGTTGAAATTTTATGGACATAATCAACACTTGATTAAAAACATTCTCTTAAAATTTCACAAAATAATTTCACTCGAAAGTAGATTAGTCTGATATGATTAATTGATTCCACTCATAGTTGATTGTTTGATTTCTTAAATGATGAGTATTCTCTATTAAGGTGTAATAAAAAGGATTGAATCTGAATAGGATAAAAAAAGGGAATGATTAGAGAAAGCGACACTAAGTAAAAAAAGTTCAATGAAAAAATTTGTTTGTTTAAATAAGTCAAATTCTGAATGTCCTCCTCAAGATGATAATTCATAGAAAAACAATAATTTAACTGCTGAAAATGAAGTGATTCAGATTGATTACATCATTGGAGGGGGGTTAGGAGGTGATATAGAGTTAATTACTTAAATATGACTTAAACATCGATAAAGTGTACAAATAGGATCATTATTGTGTCCTTCCTGAATAAGGATCACCAATACTATAATATGATTGATTTAGAGAGAATAGAGTTTCACACTTTTTTTTATAAATATCTTGAAATACTATTATATTATTATTATTATTATTATTATTATACATGTTAGTTTAGATAGAGAAAGTTCTATAACTTTTTGTAACATTCGACTCATTTTGACTTTCGGTCCCTAGATCTTCAAACATACAGTTCTTCTCCTTATGTTACCTTCGCAAAAAAAGCTTCTTACACATTTATAAGATTTTGTGTACATTAAACATCACTCCATATTTTTTTATCTTATCTTTATTTGTGTCAATTTATTGTCATGCTCTGGGATACGTATGAATCTCATAAACAATACGGAGTACTTGGTATTTCTGGATTTGTGACTGGGAATTTTGCTGTCGGAGCCTCCAACTAGAATGTATCTAATTCAATTCCATTAAATTGATGATGAACATGAGGCCAAATGATAGAGATGGCCAGATGGTCCCTGATTTATGTTCATGGGGCAGCCACCAGTGCGACGAGTCGTGCGATTTGAGGTGAACCCACTTTCTCTCTTCTTCTCCTGTACACGTATGTCATCAATTATTATAAGCCACAACCACACCAGCAAACATTTCCAGGCTACCAGGTATCCACCGCACCCCTTCTTCCTTCTCTCTCCGCAAATGGAAAATATCAGAGCAGAATCAGTAGACAGAGAATACGAGAAAGCCCTTTAATAATACAGTAGCAGCTATGAGCCTGAGGATGATTGCCGCCGCCGCTAATAATAACTTGCTCTGTTTCTTGATCTCAGTCTTTTGCTTTCTTTCCTCTGCTTCTCCGGCCGCCGTCAATGAGATTTTCATTAGAGAGACTCAGCAGTTGTTGTCGTTCAAGGCTGGACTCTCCGACCAGACCCCGTTTAGAAACTGGGTTTCTTCCGGGAACCCGTGTGGCTTCACTGGTATTACATGCAAACGCTCGAAGCTCGCCGCCGTAGATCTCTCCGGCACCCACCTTGGCGCCGACTTTAGCTTGGTGTCGGCGTTCTTGCTGACCCTGCCGGACTTGGAGAGTCTCGTGTTGAAGAACACTGGCCTCAGTGGCTCGTTCAAGCCTCCGGGTTCTTCCCAATGCGGAGCGTCTCTGAGCTACGTAGATCTTGCCGGAAACTCGATTTCCGGGACTGTTTATGATATCTCCGGCTTTATTGTTGGGTGCCCAGGGGTCAAGTCACTTAATCTTTCCAGGAATTACTTCGAGCAGATGAATAATATCACTCCCGGTGGAGGCGGCGGCGGTTCTGCGATTATTGGACTTCAAAGTCTGGATCTTTCTTATAACAATATTTCCGGGCCGGACGTATTCTCGTGGCTGTCGTCCGGATTAGAGCTTCGGTGGTTATCCTTGAAGGGAAACAGAATATCTGGGAAAATCCCAGAGCTGAATTTGAAGAATTTGTCACATTTGGACCTTTCTTCCAATGATTTCTCCACCGAGTTCCCTTCATTTCGAGGTTGCTGGAATCTCGAACACCTTGACCTGTCATCCAACAGATTCTCCGGTGATGTCGGCGCCTCCCTATCCTCCTGCCGGAAGCTTAGTTTCCTCAATCTCACAAACACATCTTCATCTCCGGCGGCGGCAGGTGCAGCAGGTGGTGGCTTTCCTGTATTCCCCAGTGGGAGTTTGAAATATCTGTACCTTAGAGGGAATGAGTTCCAGGGTGAGCTTCCACGGGAAATTGGGGATTTGTGTACAACTCTTCTAGAACTCGACTTGGGCTTCAATAATCTTTCCGGCATGCTCCCCGAGAGCCTCGGAGCCTGCTCAGCTTTGGAGCTTCTGGACATCTCTTACAATAACTTCTCGGGCGAGTTGCCCGTTAAAACCCTGCTCAACATGACTGCAGTGAAGACCTTGGCTTTCTCTTTCAATAACTTCTACGGTCAGCTGCCCGAGGCATTATCGAGCAGGTTGATGAAATTGGAGACGTTGGATTTGAGTTCGAATAACATCACGGGTTTGATTCCTCCCGGAATTTGTACTAACCCGGGAAAGAGTAGCTTAAAAGTGTTGTACCTTCAGAACAATCTGTTATGGGGAGAAATACCAGATAGTTTGAGCAACTGTACCGAGTTGGTAACACTTGATCTTAGCTTTAATTATATCAATGGCCGGATTCCGCCCAGCCTGGGTTCGCTGTCGAAGTTGAAGGATTTAATAGTGTGGTTGAATCAGCTTGAGGGTGAAATACCACAGGAGGTAATGTATTTGCAGTCCTTGGAGAATCTGATTCTTGATTTCAATAACTTGACAGGGCCAGTCCCTGCCGGTCTTAGCAACTGTACCAAATTGAATTGGATTTCGCTGTCAAATAATCAACTGAGTGGGGAGATACCTGCTGAATTGGGGCGTTTGCCGAGCCTAGCCATTCTGAAGTTGGGTAACAACTCGATCTCGGGGAGTATACCTCCTGAATTGGGCGATTGCCCGAACTTGATATGGTTGGATCTGAATACAAATTTCTTGAACGGGTCAATCCCGCCCACTCTCTTCAAACAATCAGGCAACATTGCGGTTTCCTTATTCACTGGGAAGCGGTATGTGTACATAAAAAATGATGGGAGTAAGCAGTGTCATGGGGCAGGGAATCTGCTCGAGTTCGGGGGAATTAGACTCGACCGATTCGACCGAATTTCTACTCGGCACCCTTGCAATTTCACTAGAGTGTATAGAGGCATTACCAAACCCACATTCAATCATAACGGGTCAATGATCTTCCTTGACCTTTCCCACAATCAGCTCGGGGGTGGCATCCCGGAGGAACTCGGGTCCATGTACTATCTCCAAATTCTGAACTTGGGCCACAATGCCCTCTCGGGCCCTATTCCTCAAAAACTGGGCGGATTGAAAAATGTGGCCATTCTGGATTTATCACACAACCGCCTACAAGGCTCAATCCCATCACCACTCACCAGCCTGACCTTGCTTGGAGAGATTGATCTATCAAACAACAATCTCTCCGGGAAGATACCCGAGTCGGCTCCTTTTGACACATTTCCGGATTACCGGTTCGCCAATAACTCCGGCCTTTGCGGGTATCCGCTTCCCCCGTGTGGTTCAGCAGGATCAAATTCAAGTCTTAAACAGAAACAACAGAAATCCCGCCAAGTTTCCCTTGTGGGCAATGTGGCGATAGGGCTCTTACTCTCGCTCTTTTGCATCATAGGTTTGACCATTGTCGCCGTAGAAGGAAACAGGAAGAGGAGGCAAAGAGAGGAGGCTGCCGCAGCTAACTCTGAACCGGAGAAGGGTGGGAGCTGGAAACCGACTGGCATCCGTGAAGCATTGAGCATAAACCTGTCGACCTTTGATCATAAGCCCCTCCTAAGAAAGCTCACTTTTGCGGATCTTCTAGAAGCTACCAATGGGTTCCACAACGACAGCATTGTCGGGGCGGGAGGTTTCGGTGATGTGTACAAAGCCCATTTGAAAGATGGAAGCGTCGTTGCTATAAAGAAACTGATTCATATAAGCGGACAGGGTGATCGGGAATTTATGGCGGAAATGGAGACGATCGGAAAGGTGAAGCACCCAAACCTGGTCCCACTTTTGGGATATTGCAAGGTAGGCGAGGAACGCCTATTAGTGTACGAGTACATGAAGTATGGCAGTCTAGATGATGTTCTCCATAAGAAGAAGAAGCTTGGGATCAAACTGAATTGGGCTGCCAGGAGAAAGATTGCGATAGGAGCCGCAAGGGGGCTGGATTTCCTACATAACAGCTGCATACCTCATATCATACACCGTGACATGAAATCAAGTAATGTATTGTTAGATGAGAATCTGGAAGCTAGGGTCTCTGATTTCGGGATGGCGAGGCTAATGAGCGCTATGGATACACACCTTAGTGTGTCCACGCTGGCTGGCACCCCGGGGTATGTTCCACCTGAATATTACCACAGCTTTAGGTGTTCGGCTAAAGGCGATGTGTACAGTTATGGTGTTGTCCTGCTTGAGCTGCTAACTGGGAGGCAGCCAACTGATTCAACCGAGTTTGGTGACAACAATCTGGTTGGGTGGGTGAAGCAGCACGCGAAGATGAAGAAGATAAGGGAGGTTTTTGATCCAGAGTTGTTAAAAGAAGACCCCAGCTTAGAAGTCGAACTTCTACAACATCTAAGGATTGCTTGTAGTTGTTTAGACGATCGGGCTTGGAAGCGCCCGACTATGGTTGAAGTTATGGCAATGTTTAAAGAAATTCAAATGTGGTCGGGGAGTGATTCATCACCACCGTCTGTAACCGTGTTTGGTGGAGTTGCTGAAGGTATTCAAATGAGCATACAAGAAGGCAATGAGCAGCATATTAATCAACAATGAAATATTTAAGTTTTGGTTGAAGCTAGTTCTTTTTTTTTAAATATTTTTGTAATCCACGCACCATCATCATTCTTAGCTCCTGGCTAGAAAGGCTTGGAAATTAATTGTTTTTATACGTAATATACATGGGAAAAAGTTCAAGACAAGAGGTTGTTTTCAGTTTTCACCTATGATCTTTACAGTGTTGTGTATAAGTAGGTTTAGACAAACATGTGAGAAACGTCTGGTGCGGAATACTTAATAATCGAACAACAATTTATGAGACATGTGAAAAATCTTAAGTTGTAGCGCATTTTTTTTAATTATTAACTATTGAAGTGTGGATTTGCGCTCCCATATACCAAGTATATTCCTAAAGTTCATGAAGTATCCTCCGAAATTCCTAGATATTTCCCATAATTCTAAATATATGAATTATCCTCCAAAGTTCTTAGACATGTATATCTAAACTTGTCAAAATTTATCATTTTCCTGTATTGACTTCAATAGACATTTACACAATTTGCTATCAGATTACTTCTCTCATCACACGAATCTGCTACCTTCCACAATATCATCTCCATTCTCAGCTTCTGAGATTTAACCTAGGTAAGGAGAATCATAGGAAGAAAGACTACTAAGGAGGGATTTGAATCCAAGATCTACTACTAAGGAGATCACCAAGTGGTCAAGCGCTATGACATCACCAACCCACTATAGCTCACTTTAGCTCAACTAGCCAATACAGTAAGTTCAATAATCTTATGTGCGATAAGTTTAAGGAAAAATCACACTTTCAGTCAGTCTCTTTAATGGTGCTCACATTGAATTATAGTCTCCGTATTTTTAAGTGTGTAAATGTCATATGTCACTCCACACACAATTTTTTATTCCGTGAGCTAAATTGTTTTTACAATCAAAACAAGTAAAAGCGTAGTTACTTTTCTGACTGAATTGGTTGAAATTATTGTAGATGATCTGATGATCATTTTAGATATTTTCTGTACGGAGCATGAATTTCCTTTATTTTCCTAATAAGATAGATTTAAAGATTTTTTTTTCATAATTTAGCAAATTCAGTTAATTCAACCGTTTCAACGGTTCAACCAGAACTTTATAAATTTTAGCAGATTCAACTAATTCAGTCGAATTCAGTGTTATCAAACAACTCTAATTTAAAAATTAAACTTAATTACTAGGTACATGAATAAATATATCAACATGTGCCCGTTTGGTAGCCATGAGTTTTGGCTTTTCAGGCTTATAAACCAATTTTTCACTAAACACGTAATTTTTGGTTTTATGGGCTGAATTGTGTAACAATAAGAAAAAGTAAGATTGCAGTTACGTTTTTGGTTGTATTGGTTGAAGTTACTGTAGAGGATCATTTTAACTATTTTCATATAATTATTTCTTTATTTTATCAATAAAATGCATTTTAAAATTGACACCACTGAAAAATAAAAATTCTCTATATAGGTATAGATAATCTTTCATAAATGATGAATTGACACCATCCAACATTTTAAAAAAATGGGGGTCAATTTAAAAATTCTAAAAGTTGGAACACCAAATTGAAAAGTCAGCAAAGGAGAATTGAAAAGTCTGTGCCCAAATCGCTGATTGAACTCCAACTCCCGCTGCAAAAAAAAAAAACGATTGAACGCCGTAAGTCGCAGTCCCAATTCCCAAATCGCTGAAATCATAAACCCTCGATCGCAGTCTGTGCCCAATGAGATATTCTCTTTGGTGAAGTTTCTTCTTTTTGTGAAAAGAATAAAATTTCAATTACAAGTATGAATGATTTTTATGTACCTCATGGGAGAGTCCGTCACAAAGTTATCCAAAGCACAAACTTACATCGTTACAAAGTGGACTTGTTTTATGTTGTGGTGGATAGACAACGCGAGGAGTTGAACAATCGATTCACAGAGATTTCTACAGAATTGCTTCTTGTGTGGCTTGCCTTAGTCCTAAAGACACTTTTTCATCTTTTGACAAGAACAAGTTGATTCGCATGGCTCGATTATATCCTTTTGACTTTTCACTGGTAGAAGTTCTTGCTCTTGACAGTAAACTTGAAACTTTTATTCTTGATGTGCGCTCCAACTCTGCATTTATAGATATTAAAGAAGTTGGTTCTCTTACTCAAAATTTGGTGGAGACAAAGAAACATATTGTGTATCCATTAGTTTTTTTACTTGTGAAATTAGCTTTGCTTTTACGGGTGGCCACCGCAACTGTGGAAAGAGCTTTCTCAGCCATGAAGTTCGTGAAGAACAGGTTGTGCAATCGAATGGGGGATGATATGATGAATGATGCCTTAGTTACTTTTATTGAAAAAGATATATTCAAAAGTGTTGACAAAGAAAAAATTGTACAACGTTTTCAAAATATGAAAACGCGTCGTGGACAGTTGTGAATTAGTACTTTAATTTTACCATTGACAATATTTGTTTTTTAGTTATACGGAGTATTATATACATAGTACGGAGTAATATTTATATGTAGTTATTTTAAATCATGTTTTTCTATATGGACACTTGAACACAATAAGTTGTGTTGAACAATGTGAGTTGTTGTTATATGTGATTTTATTTTTATTCATATACGGGACCTCAATTTTGCATTTGAAATCGGGCCCACCAAATTCATTCGACGGCCTTGCTTAGAACCGACTGAATAGTTATGTGAGACGATGTAAGTTGAGTTTTGATGAAAGTAGGTAGAATTTATGGCAAATCAATGCTACGAGTTGAGCCAACCCGAGACCTGTTCCTTTTGACGCCCTCTTTTTATCGGGAGAGATACGCCCCAATACAAAAGTATATATTTCAAATAAGCGCGATAAGTTTAGTTTGTAGTTAGAGATTAATATAAATATAGTAGTAGAACATTCATGTGGCAGGTATTACCGAGTAATAATTTATACTCACTATATACTTGTATATAGATAGCATCAGAAAAGATCAGGTCCCTCCGGAGGGACGGGAGGGACCGTCCGAACTTTACTGTTTGGGGCGGTTCCCGGTGGAATTTTTTGATGAAATTTTTTGAGCATGTTCCTCATCAAGTCTAGTTTGTTCATACCAAATTTCAACTCAAAATTCGACCGGGAAGACAGTCAAATAAATTCTTGAATCTTACTGCACATTCTGCGCATATATAAAGTGCAGTAAGTTTCAATAATTTATTTGACTGCCTTCCCGGTCGAATTTTGAGCTAAAATTTGGTATGGACAAACTAGACTTGATGAGGAACATGCTCAAAAAATTTCATCAAAAAATTCCACCGGGAACCGCCCCAAACAGTAAAGTTCGGACGGTCTCTCCCGTCCCTCCGGAGGGACCTGAGCAGTCCTCTAGATAGCATATATTGATAGTATTAGGAAAATAGGCTCCAGCCCCCCAAAATCCAAAAAAACAACAATATATGTCCCAAAATCAAAATGTTGCAGGGTCTAATCCTGACTTGTATTGATACAAAGTGTAACTGTGCTGAACAGATAAATGTTTAAAGACGACAAAATAGGGTTACCACTTACGACTGAAGAAGCAGCTAAGGCACAGTCCAAAATGTCCATTCCACAGGCTGGTTTTGTCTGAGGGGTAACCCTACATCGTCCCCTTCAAAACCCCTCTGCTTCACGTGGTTTGCGCGTGCACAAATTTAACACAAATGACCTCTCAAACAGAGACATTTAACAAATATGAAGATAGTCTTAAATGTGGGCTTAATGCACTATTATACGTACCCTGCAGTGCTTATAATTTTAGGGCTTTGTCGCTATACAAAGTTAGGAACGAACTTTGCCTGTAAAATAGATTGTATTGTTTAGTTAAATGTATAATTTATTTTTAATTAAATTTGCACGCAAAGACGCTACTTTATAAAAAACATGCAAAGTATTTTTACCAGCCTCCCCACGCAAAATATTTTGTATAGTACGGTGTAAGGAGGTTTTTACTTGGACTATAATTTGCTGGTATGCTCTTGTCCGGTTTGTTTAAGTCTGAACTGGTCTAGTGTGATCTGTTTAAGTCTGGTCTGGTATGACCTGGTCTGAATTGGTCTGGTAAATGCTCGGTCTCTTTGTACTCTCTCCGTCTCGAAATAAATGTCTTGTTTGCTTTAGCACCAGTTTTAAGAAAGTTGATGAAAAGATAAAATTGTGGTTGAGATTTGAGTAGAAAAGGATGAATTGATATGAGCAAACATTATTGCCAAAAGAGGAACAAGATAATTATTTTGGGACGGACCGAAAAGGAAAATAGGAAAGTTATTTCGGGACGGAGGGAGTATTTTATAACTACAGAAGTCTAGTCTGATTTGGTCTGGACTGGTTTGTTTATGTCTGTTTGATCTGGCACTAAAACAATCCAAGTAAAAACATGCTTAAATGTTTTTAAAAAGGGAAATTCTATTCACAGCCACACATTTACTAAATACAGCCACATATTTTTTATAATCCCATTATACCCCTATTATGGTACTCTGTATTAAGCATCCTAATACAACTCGTAGGCTGTCAAGGAACTCGAAGTGGCAGCCCCCATCAAATTCTCATAGCTCATACGTATCTGGGTAGAAGAATCTCAAAATTAAAAAGCATTACCTCTGAACAAATGTCAAGAATCACAGATTTACATGTGTAAAAGTGGAGTTGTTATGAATCCTATTTTATTTGGTTGAAAAATTTTATTCCAAAAAGCTAATACAGTGTAACACATGTGTTTCCATTATCGATAATCCACCGTACGTGTTTTTCTCTTCTTTGAAGCTTTTCTCTTCAAAATTTTCGAGACTTATTCTAATTATAAGTGACGATCAAAATTTTCCAATCTGTAAAAGGGCTCATGCCTTGGCTCTTCAACTCCTTATGTCTTTCATCAATTTTTGTTTTGGGAATTTCCGAAGAACTCTGTCTGCACAACCCCTTCACCCGATTGCAATAATGCCTACTGCAGTCACCTCCACCACCATCAATTTAACTTGTCAAGTTCATATTTCTGGTCTATTTCAACGATAGTTATTTGCTTGTTAGAAAGGACGATGATTACTTGAGGGTGACTTAGACATTTCAATTATTTTAGGGGCTGTAAATAGCAATTTGGGGGCTGTAAATAGAATCACTCTTTTAAAAAATGATCTACAATTTACATTAAATAATCGATCCAAACGACATATAGTTGACTTTTTATTCCTCCAAAAGAGTGAATCCTCAACCTCAAGGCCCATGCACTGACCCGGCAAAGCATATGAAATGTAGACCTTTTATGTC